TTCTCAGACATTGCTTCCAGTAGAATGGAACCCAACACCAGGCAGACTCAAACAGAGGTGTTCATGTACTTAGAACACCATGACCAGATGCCATCAGAAAACAAAGATTTATTAGAAATTTTACAGATTTTGCATTGTATCCTTTAATAGTGTTAATCTTTAAATACATCTGTATTAGCATGTCCAAATCTGACAATGCCTAGTATATACATTCTAGTGTGCTCTTTGTATAAATTAGATCATGGATGTAACAACTGTATCCAATGGACAGAGCTAAAATTACTTGACTATTGGAGATGGTTCTTCTACTTGGCAAAATTCTAGTCTGGATCAAAACCAGTAAAAATGCTGTGCCCAGCACTGCCCAGTGAAATTTGGCACAGATGCAAGGTAAAATGAAGAGACCATCAGCTATGAAAAATGTTAATGGTGGGTAGATTACTGCCTGGACTCTACACTGTGTTAGTGGCTGAGCTTAAATAGCACTAGAGTTGGTGGAAAGCAATTCAAGTTTGGAGAAGTAGAAGCTATTGCCAATTGTGTGAAATGTCTTAATGCTTGTGACCCGAGTCCTGTTAGGCAGCAAGCCCTCTTTTGACAGGAACGCACAGGGTCTCATCCTCCCCAGACTGCATTTCAGACACATGGAATGGCTTTGCAAACAGCTGGCCTCCCTGGACATTTGCTGAAGGAAGCCTTGGTCCCATGACCAGGGAAAGATGAGAAAGGTACAAAATCTGTAATTAGATGAGCCAACTTCTCTCCGGTTCTTACCAACTAGAAAGTGAGAGAAAGGCAGTCACTGAAACCAAGGCTAGATGTAGGGTATCCATAGGGGTCACAAATCAAACAGAGGGGACTCAGGTGTCCTGTGGGTTGCCCCTGCAATGTGGTGGCATTCCTATACTGACAAAATCACCAAGAGCAGGTAGGAGGCTTGAGGCAAAGCAGATACGGCATCTCCCATCAACTCTTTCAAGAACTGCTAAAACTTGTCAAAAGAAGAGGGAATGGGTGTAGCTTGCGGGGAGGAGCCTGGAAAGTCAAATTGCATTCCCAGAAAATCAGCCTGCAAAGAGAGCAGCATAGGGGACCAATCTGTTATCCTGCTCTGTTCAGCTGCCTTTTGTAAGCAGAGAAAAAGAAGCCAGTTCTGCCGTAGTCCCCTTTAAGTTTCTTTGGGAGTTCCGAGCAGAAATCTGGCAAAGGCTGGGATGGTAGTGATAACAAAGAGGACAGACCACATATTGACAGCTGAAGGAAATTCCAGACATCAAGACTTCTGAGGCCTCTACTATCTCACACAGACCCAAAATTCTGCCCTTTCCCTTTCACACATCCTGTACATTCACTCAGCTTCTGCATGTCTTCTGAAACAGCACGTCAGCTTCACTATAAATCCTCTCCTTCCCAGAAGGCACAGACCCTGGGCTGGCTTCCCAACTCCCTCTCCCACCCATGCTCAACTCTGCCTTCCCCTCCCATGACATGAAATACTTTGTGCTTTCTATGTGGGATCAGTGACTTTGCACGTCAGATCCTACTTTCCACCCCCTTCGTGTCCTCTCTTTCCTAGCAGCCATTGTGCAACATTTACACAATGCAATCCCTTCAGCCAGGGCTCCTGGAACTGCCGCTCAACTGTCCTCTTCCCCATCTTCCTCAAGAGCTAAGCCAAAGTCAGCATTTACGGTAGGATCGACTTACATGTCTAGTGACCTGCCAAAATTAACTAGGCACATGTATGTGTGCATGAGTGCAAGAGAGTGAGCATCATATAGATGGGGAGTACACGGTGTGTGCTAAAGGGTTCATCAGTGCAAGTTTGGGAATGGTGCATTCCTCTGAAGAGGTAAAGTCACAAGGGAGTCATGCAGAGTAAGACTAACACTTGCTGATAAAAACCTTTATCCAACCCCACACCACCAGGTATTCTGTATAGGACTGTTCTAAGAATGTGTTAGAGGCTTCTCCAAAATGCTATGGGGCTATTTCGTAAAGCCAGGAGCCTGAGTTAGCAAGGCCTAAACGTTCAGAAGCAACTAGTCATTTTAGGAGCCCCAATTTCTGGGTGCTCACTTCAAGACACCTTAGAAGGGACTTGTTTTCAGAGGGCAGATGCTCAGCACTTCCTGAAAATCAGGCCCGTTCCAAGTGTCTCATCTTGGACACCCAAAAATGGAGGCACCTCAAATCACTAGTCACTTTGAAAATAGAAGCCCAGGACTGCAGCTGTGCAAAGCTCAGGGAGATAGAAAACTTAAAGCTATCACACATAAAAACTGCTCAAATGACCTAAAAGGGCTTTCTAGACCTAAAAACATCAGGACTTCAAAGATGGATCTTTTGGGACTTCTCATGCCTGGAAGGGAGCCTTGGGTCCTAGTGAAAAGCTAGGAATCTCCCCTTTCCAGTGGCAAATGGCTTAAATTGCTAGCCCTCAGGGCTTGACGATATTTTAGACCAATGATGCCTTCATCTATAGAAACCCAGGCACTGGCCCAGGCCGGATTCCTACCTTGTCCTGGGCATGGAGCTCTGGTATTTTTGGGGAGAGGGAATTCCAAAGCCACAAGGAGCCTGAGAAAACATTTCCCTAGCAAGTTGATTGGAAAAAACAAAACCAAACCCACAGCAACTGTCTGAAGTTGTTGAAGGATTTGGAACGTTAGAATCAATTTGGAGGCAATGGATTAGAATAAATGTTCGAAGAAGTCTCAGGCCAAGTGCTGCTGTCATCACTCCACAATACATGTGTTTATCACACGTGTATCACAGGCAGCACAGGCCCTTCCAGCGAGTGTGGGTTAAAACTACCTTTTTGGGAAGATGGGATTTCTGCCTCTAACGTGCTTTCTGGAGTTTGCTGCCATTGCTCTCACCTCTTCATGAGCCTCATTCCAAACCCACTGAAGCCAATGGAAGCCATTATGTTGAGTTCAGGGGGCTTGGGTTACACCCTCCCTGAGAGAATATGAACTATGCTTTGGGGAGAGTAGAGCGAGGGAATAGAGGACCCTGCCTCATCCATAAAGGAATGGAATACCACAGTAGGGACCCCTTCACAAGTGAATATTTCTTAGCAACCAACATCAGAGTTACACTTCTGCATCCTCTTATGAAGGCATAACTGGAGACCCAAATCGAAGCTTTTAAAATGGCTAAATCAGTACATTCCACATACTCTACGGCCACCAAATCCAACTCTGCAAAACACTTCAGAAGGAATTTAACCTAGAAATGTAAATTAGAAAGAAAACAACTGCAGTCTGGGAATACCCTGCAAGGATGCTCAGTCCAGCTGGGGCTCTGGGCAGCACCCACTGCTGGAGAGCTGCATGAGCACACCCACAGAGTGTCAGGAGCTGGAGTTAAGTTTGTGCCACTTCTTGTTCCTGTTACAAGGACTCTCACAAGTCTCTCGGAGACTTTAATTCCTCGCGCCTTTCATGAAAGATAGTTGTAAGCTGGACTTCCGTCACCTCCTCTGTTCAGTTTGTTCATTGTTCAGGGCCATTCCCACCCCTCCCCAAATCCTGCCTGCATCATTAAGGAGAAACAAATTGACTAACAAGAAATACCTTTAAGAGCTTAAAGTCTCTCTTTTTGACACTGTTCCAAAGCTTGCAGCCTCCATCAGGACCTAGATTCAACTCTTGCTGGCTTAGTCTCCTTCTGCTGAGACAGCTGGCAACAAAACAGGGATCCAGTCCCATGACAATAATTGTAAGAACTACAGGAAATGACAGAAATAGACCCCATCTCGGAACAATCTTAAAACTGGGATGTTTTAGGCCTCCTTGCCAATACAGTCCAGGCATAACATACTAGAGGATAAATCAACCGCTCCTCTCCCCCAGGATTAGTCTAACTGCTTAAGTTCTGTCCTTGCTTCAGATCCAGATAAATGCACCTGCTTTGCTGCTGAGCCTGTTACAGGCCTCCCAGTAGTTATCTGATTTCAAAAAGTGATAGCAAGTGTGGTGAGTGACCTGCACTTAAGACCTCCTGAACATACCAACCTCTCACCATTAGTACATGCAGGGAGTGAGTTCTACCAAGGATCAGACTTTTAAACTAGCCTGTTCCAGGAACAGGTGCACCTCACATACCTGTATGCTGCCTATAGATTTTGCATGGGACTGAGTTGTGCCGTCTGAGCACTACCCTTTAGGTGAATTCATGGCCAAGTGGTCTGCCTCTCCCTTGGGTGCAGGGTCTACATGACAGCATCCTGACCCTTCCCTTCTCTCGCCCCAGTTCTTGGAAAGCTGCCTTGGGCACTGCAGTGGCCCCAGAACCACATCCATTTACAGACAAAACTCATAGAAACAAGGGCTTAAATTAGAGACATTTAGGAAAAACCAACAAGATCCAAATTCTAAATATAAATCCAAGGCTGGGGATTAACATCTGTCACTAGGGAAGAACTTGAATTGTTTACAATGAGAAACCCAAGGTTTGAAATGAGCTAGGTAAGGGAGGAGAATGACCCCTAGCTGTGGGTGATCATTATTCATGAGGCATCAGGACTGGGCCACAAGGTTAAACATTGGAAGTAAACAACCATTTTCTTTTATCAGCACAACCTGGAGCAGCAGAGCTGCCCTAGGGTAGATCTCACACACACACACACACACACACACACACACACACACACACACACACACACACACACACACACACACACACACACACACACACACACTATAC